AAGCAAATTGTTTTTATTGAATTTTTTAAAACTTTATATACCAATAACTTAACCAAAACTTGATCAAATTTAATAAAATTTTTTTAAAATAAATTCTATAAGTTTGTAGAATTTATTCAAAAAAATTTTTATTAAATTTGAATAAATTTTTGTTAAGTTATTGTCGTTTAAAGTTAAAAAAAAATTTACTTAAAAAAAATTTGCTTGATTTCTATTGACTCAACCCCATTTGATTAAATAATTAAGAAACCTTTGTTTAAAATTCCAACTACAATTTAATTTTTTTAAATATTAATTAACAGTTCACCCTGTCAAAACTGATAACTAATAAAAAATCGGTTCACTATGCACATTCCATAATCTAACTCTGATAACCTGCTGTTTCAAAACTGATATTTAAAAAATATTTATTAGTTGTATAATCTGGTAAATCTGAGATTTTTGATATATCCAATTAAATTAATTCTATGTAGCAAGATTGGATATTATTTATCCAATCATATTGAACCACAATCTTGTGACTAACAGGTTCATTAAAACAGTTTTTTTTATCTGATTTTTCAAAACTGATCCAAAATCTATTCATCATGCATACTGGTAAACGAAAAATAGAATAAACACACCCTAATCTAACATTAACCTAAAGCATCCCTAATCATAAGTTATTTTAACTTTATAATAAGGTATCCCCACTTTAGACTTTCCTCGAATTTTAAAAAATACTAACTTTTAAGGATTTCTTTACAATTATTGAACAAAATTTGCCAAGAATGTTTATTTGATTATATAATCTTATTAAATTTTCACTAATTTTCCTTGGTGGACATCAAGAAACCGATATTACTAATCATTTTACTGAAATTATGTAATTAGTACTTGAGCACTAACTATAGTCAATGGCATAAATTAATAGTTGAAATAACACTTTTTTTTTTTTTTTTTTACTTTCGAGAACATTATAATTTATTATCGTTATTGAAAATTTTAACTTTTTAATAACCGGTTAAGCCGGCTTAGTCGTATCAAATTTATCGACTCGGTTATGCTTATGCTTATTAGTTTTTGATCTACTAAAATCACTAGAATTAGTTTTTGATCTAAAATCACTAGAATTAGTTTTTGATCTACTAAAATCAGAATTAGTTTTTGATCTACTAAAATCACTAGAATCAGTTTTTGATCTACTAAGATCACTAGATGATGCTTCTTCACGATTATCTCTAAACTCGTATTTCGCAAGAATCTTATCTTTCCTTGGCTAGAATGTACGTAAATCATCTTAATTAAAAATATCATGTTATTTTTAAACAATTAACAATAATTGTAAAAAAATATTTATAATTACATTTCTTTGAAACATGATGTACCATCCTTCAAGTTGTTCATCAGCCATTCCTGTAATATTCTTAAGTCTAGCACGTTTATCTGATCTCCTTACAGCACTAGTTCTCTCAAAAACGGATTGGTCTGATTGGAATGCCTTAATAAGTTCACTCTCATGCGTAATGCTAGGGTCGACCTATGAAAATCATAGAATTTCATAAAAATAAATATAATATAATCTAGAGATATACCTTACACGAGATTATCAAATTCATCTTGCAAATGAGTGAAATCATCTCGTGTAAAGGTACGCCTCCGGTAAAATCGTTTAACATAAATTATTTTTTGCCATTTACCTTTCCATGCGCTGTATTACTAATTTCTGTCTCCTCTTCAGTCTCGTCGACCATATGAAGGTCAATACCTCCCATTTTCAGACCACTAGTATCATAAGTATCATCATATTCATCCTCATACATCATATCATTAGCAATATTTATAATTGATTCTTTGTAATCTTTTACAAATGACTTGTCATCCAACAAAGCGTCTGCGGTACCACGACTTACAAAAAATAATAATAATAATTAGAAATGTGCTCAAAGTTTAAAGTAAAAAAAAATATATATATAGATCCAAAGTCATACTTCTTCTTTCCCTTATTGACACGTTTAAAGTCAATACTTTTACCAGAAAATACGTCAAACTCATCGTTGTCAAAAACGTTTCGACGTTGAGCTAAGAGACTTTCTTCTATTACACAATAAAAAAGTTCGTAATTCACGTTGCAAAAGGCATAATTTAACAGAACGTATAATATCAAACCTTTAGAACCGCTCACGCTATCATTGGTCAATGATGCAACACGACTAAAAGACAATAAGATATTAAATATATATTATATAATGTTAATCTAATTAAGATATTTAACATACCGAGCCATTGAACGATCTAATTCATTTAAATGAGCTGGTAAAGAATTCTCCAATAATCGATTAATAATCATTTCTACATTATCATCAAAAGCTGTTAAACATTCTTCTATGAATCCTTCACCCAGATCAGGGAAAAGGTCCTGAACCTGAGATATAAGGGCTATGCGTTTCATATCACTGTCCTCGATTGTATCAATTGTATCAATTGTATCAGACTAATAATTGAAAATTGAATGTGTAAGGTGTTATTTTATGTTAAGAAACCAGGCGTATCTAATTATTGATTTAACCTTGTGAGTTATTGAACGCGCAAAATGTTTTTTCTGCTTTTCTTCTAATCGAATTTGCCAAGGTAACTTGTCACTTTCTTGATTCATATTACGCAGTAATTCCAAAGACCCGACAATATAGTCCACCCTAGCATCATCAGTGTGAAAATTAAGGAAAATTATAAATATAAATTGATATTAAAAGTCGAAAACAATGATAAACGAATCCTGTAATAAATCCATTAAATGTGTTTTTTTTTTAAAAAAAGGATATCCATTAAGAACTTCATTCTTTATTCTTATTAATTTTCCACTCAAATCAAATTCGATTTCAATGTCTAAAAGTAATGGCGCATCTACAAAAGATTCAACTGGCTTGTCCAACTGGGAAGATTCAATGAAAAAAAGAAGCACATCACCCATCCTTTCAATCTTAGAATTTATATTTTCTATGTCTTCTAACTTGTCATCCGATTTGACAAATGAATATACATCACCTTCGTTGGACGTGAATCCTACTGGACTAAAATAGCATGCATTTAAAGTGTGGAATGTAAGTGACACTAATGCATGTTTCAAAATAATTAAATCCCTGGAAATATCCGAGAATTTTTTATCAGATTCAAATATTTTCGAAATTATCGGTATAATATTATCATAGAAATTTTCTATTGTCATTAAAAAATCAACATTATCCTCAAAGTCTTGTCTATCGTTGAATATGTTAGCCACGGATTTTGAAACTATGAATAAACAATCCAAAGTGATAGAGATATCCAACATATATTCTAAATAAGTTCGAGCATTTGCAAGCTTTTTTTTATCAATCATAACACTTTTACTTGTTTTTTCACTATCAGCTATTTCCTGAAATTTGTCACCTATGACTTTTATATAATTAACAATCGTACTGGAATGCATTTCAAAATCTTGAATTATTTTTGTTACAGATTTGATTGTATTATCAATGAATTTCTCTATTTGTTTAGTATTTGATCTACCATACATTGCTACTACATCAAGTAGAAATGGTACTGATATTAAATTATTTTGATACAATGCTTCCCCTAATGTAATTCCATTTTTCATTTGGATCGAAGAAATTGATGGTTCTGAAAGGCGCAATAATATTGCTAAAACTTTTTTATCTAAATCCACCTCCATTGAATGTCTATTTTGCATAATTTCAAATCTACGAATTTTTGCACGAATTCCCAAAAACGACTCCAAAAACTTTTGAAGAGACTCATTATGAAATAAATAATTTGCAAAATCTGTATCATTTGATTTTAAAATCAAGGAAAGACTTGAAGTCCAAATATTAAGCGCAGCAATCCATTGTGAATCAGTTACGCTCTGAGATCCATATTTATCTATATAAGGAGGCACCACCAAATTTTTAATTTTCTGCGTCGCCATTATGGAAATCCCTTGAAAAAATTACAGATACTACTTATATACATTTTTAATGTAGTACAACTTTGACAACTTTTGATCTAGTTTTACCGCAGTTCACTCGTATCACTCGAATCCGCAGTTGCATTATCTGCATTATCATTGTTACAATGATGTAACCAAGATTTAGCAGATCGGTCAAAATTAGGGTTGGGGCCAGTGTTGGAAATTCATAAGATAGTATGATGATTTTTGTGAACATACTCTGTTTTTTATCATGTTCACATTAAAAAAAATAATGATCATAAATAAAATTTTATTAATTAGATAAAAATTATTTATGTTCACAAATGTGAACATAAAATAAAAAACAATTGATTTTTTTAAAAAATTTATGCTCTTGTGAACGCTGTGAACATATGATTTCCAACACTGGTTGGGGCCCCATCTTGTTCCAACATTTTTCGTAAAATGCACTAAAATTGATTCTTGTATTTTTCGCGGGCTAACGGTGTCCCAAGCAGTGATGTAAATTGGATCCGCGCAGTAGGCGCAGCGCACATAGATTTAAATTTGCGCATATATCAGCACTCTCCGTATATATAAAGCGCGTATAGATTTCTTTTTTGTGTACAGTTTTTTGTATTTGCGCCAATAAAAATTTTTTGAATTTATAACACTGGTCCCAGGGCATGCCCTTGAGCCAAATGGCATATTTCGATCATGTAAAATTGAAGTACTCTGATTGGCTACAAGACCTAGCAACTACCTCAAGAACACTTCCAAAAAGTCTGCACGACAGACAATCAGATTCCAAGATTAGATATAATATAAATCAATAATAAGAATGTAGAAGGCGCGATATATTTAAAAATGTTCCAATTAGACTACGGAGATTATATTGTATGTGATTTAAAAAAAAAAAATTTCATATTTTTGAAGGTGTTCTTGGAATAGTTTGATCCGAAATTTACAGGGCAGATGATTGATTTCCGTTCACGTGATCAATTGTCTTCGTTAGGGTTCGGCGTTTACTAATTTCACCCCCAAGTTTCTATTGGTCATCGGTAAATCGCATTTTTGATTGGGCGAAATCGACGATCCTTAATAACGTGATTTGATCCTAGCCAATCAGGAAGCAAGATCAGGTGTAACGTGAAAATTAAAAAAACAATCGCTCTTTTCTGAAAAGTCACATTAATCTCAAAATTTCGCCTACAAAATCACCTTTTGTGTACTAACAAAAAAAATTTCTTGCAAAATTTTGGTATAATGCTACCCACTAACTCTAACCTAACCCCAACTAAAATATCGCATTATAAAAGGAAGGTGATATGTAAATTGGTGCAAATAATCCTAGCCAATAGAAATTTGGGGGGGAAAATTAGTAAAATCTAGGGTTTAGGCATATGTTAGAATTAGAAAGAGTGTTTTTATAGTAAAATTGTACAAAGATTTTTTTTGTTAGAATCCAAAAGGTGATTTACTAGTATAATTTTTGAGATAAATGCTATTTTTGTAAAGAGAATATTAGTTTTGAAATTTTTATATCCCTGATTTTTGATTGGCTAATTGACCTCTAAAATAACATGAATATAAAATCAATTCTCTGTCCTAACATTGTTGTTAGATATAGTGAGAACTTTATAATAGAGCAATTGGCCAGATTTTTTGTTAGATTCTAATAATATTATCAAATAATTAGCCAATTAGAAAATTAATACAGATCAGTCCAATAAGACAATTTCATAAAAAATATTTTTGGATGTTTTATAGAATAGGTGAGCATTATAAAAAATAAGCTTTGCTAATGCTTAAAAATCATTAATTTTTTAATATCAAAGTTGTAGAGTTGGCAGAGTTTGCCTACCTATTCTATAAAACATCCATATTTTTAGCTTCAGACATTAACAATATTATATATTTTTCAAAATAAGTGAATTTAAATATACAGCAGATTTGTTTTGATCTTCAAATTGGCCAATTATAATCAAGAATTATTAAAAAAATTTTGCAAAACAAATGTTTACAAAAATAGTTTTTTTAACTAGCTTTGTACATATTTATAATTTTTTTTAACTTTGATGAGCTTGTCAGTAACTTTATTAAATATTTGTGGCAAATTTTTTTTTTGAATTTTTTATATAACCTATTATAAGATTATATATACACTAATACAAAATCTCAAATATAATCCATCACACTAGACTAACTTTATAATTAGCCTCTTAGAGAGTTTTTAGAAATCAGCTGATTAGAGTTTACTAATAGATTGCCCAAGGCCAGACCTACCTACCCACTACTTAACACTCCTATTAGCTAATTAAATTTCATATTATATAGTATATACATATAATATTAAATATATAAACTTTAATAACTAATAACTTTTAATAAAAATTACACAACTCTTTCTGACGATCATCTGGTCAACAAAAATTAAGAAACCGAACTACAGTCAGCGCTATAGAAGACGTCAAAGTAAATAATAAACTTGGTCCTATGGAAGTAGGTGTGTTGTCGACGAAGTACCAAGAGTGTAAAACCAAGGCGTGGTCTACTTTGGACTAGTTTTTGTAGAGGTCAAGCTTTTCTTCTGGCGGACTCCTCTATTATATTCGGCATCCAAACCAAAAGGGTATTTTGGGAACATAGAGCGACAAGGTCGACACCAGGAGTATTATAAACTTTGGGTCTATCTATACAACTGTAAAAC